CCTGAACTCATCAAACGATTTGAATCGCAATGTAGTTCTGTTTCTCTCTTATGTCTTTGGTATATTCAATTTTTTTTATATAAATACAAGAAAAAATATATGTCTATGTTTCAAATTGATAGCATCAAAATTCAAACTACTGGGTAAAATTCAATTACTCGACCAATACCACAGCAGCTTTTAACATCAAACTTTTCGAGATGTTTTTCTGGCCTTCAACTATAAATCCTGATAGTTGTTTTGACGTCAAATTGAAGAAGTTTATATCAGAATGGCTCTTCAAACGAGTCAAAAATTTGTATGATAACAGAGTAATCTAGTGTGCATTTAATGTTAAGTCTTTTAACATGAGGTTATGCTCAAAATTTTAGGTCTATACATACTATTTTGTGGCTGAGTCAAAACTTGTTTTAAGTGGAGTCTATCAAAAAATCGAGCTTAGGCCTTCACAACTAATGAATGATTAACATTCCGAGCTCTATCAAATTTGAAGACTTTTGAGTCATCATCTGCAATAGCAGATTTTCTCAATATTCTCGTATCCTTTATTAAGGGCGAGGCTAAATCAAAAGCATTTTTATTACTCTTGACAAAGTCTAATATCCGCTACATACATGCAAGTAGTGTCAATCTTGAACTTTGAATTTAATTACTCAGTTGAGATACTCTCAAGTTCCGAAAGAAATACCGTGCATGTATGCGTGCTTACTCGATACTCACATCGAGTGAGATACGGTGTGTATTTCTGCTAATAATTGAATAGTCGAGTATCTGAATTTCAGATGTAAGATATTCAACAATTGAATTCGAGGTTTATGCATGACAAGTGTGCTTTTCTACGCTTATTATACTCGTATTTTGTAAGGTTAAAAAATACTAATGAAACCAATGAAGATAGCTATTTACCGAGAAGGTTGGTTCTCTATTTTTGGACAAGGTCTAATCATAATTTTTTCAAACGTTATTGTATCATGCAGTTGGTCGTCGTTACAAAAAATTTTAGTTGATAATCTCAAGTGATTGTTGTCGGATAATTTCGTCGAAAGAACTGAATGAATTTTTCTATTTCCATTTTTGCTAGTTGAGTTGTTCTAATCAAATTTCTATCATTCTTGATACATCATCATTTCAAAATTTCGATCGCCTTGGGTGAGATAAACAATATTGTTCGACAATATCGGTGATGGCATCAGATCAAACCCACGACGAATTGTAATATCTTATAAAATGTAATATATTTAGTCGAGACACTTCTTGGACCTGTCCACGTTCGATATTTATCCTTTAATACGAAAAGTATTCATATTTGTTGCTAAGAATAAAAGAACAAGCCTTTTAGGGAGTCCTCTAAAGTGGTACTCATGTGCATCTAGGAAAAGTTTGTGATAAAAGAATGCTTTTTCAACTAGTTTTTTTTAATCGGATTTATCTTACAAATGGTTTCAATCAGAACTAATACAACGCTAATATGATAGTCGAAAAATATTGTCTAGGTCGAACTTAGATATAAATGAGCACACAAGTGAAAAAAAAACAAAAACAAAATTCAAAAATTATTTTAAAAAATCAATCATGAGACTGGATCTTTCAGTCTGTATTTTCCTTCTTTTATTTTATGGTAATTGCTTAATTATTAATGGAAAGATTTACATCATTCATTCTGTTTAAAACAAATTTTGACTCTCATCGAAATAATGTTTTTGGATCAAAATTGGAATCAGAAAATTACTTTATATCCATAAATGCTGTCTTTAAGAAAACTTCTCAATATAAATGTCATTAATTTGACGTCCAAGTATCTATTAGAATTTACATCAAAAGCCTAGAAAAGTATCTCGAAAATGTGAATACAAGAAGAAAATGTGATGTTGGTCGAGTACTTATATTTATCAAATAATTTGATTTTAGTACTTGGCAGCATAAAATATAGAAATATGTTTTACTTATATCTACATAAAAACAATATTTTGGATACACAGGGTCGACTTAAGACAGATGCAGTTATACCCAATCTCAAATGGTTTCGATTTGGTGATTTTCCTAGCTAGTATTGAAGTACTGGAGTTATTTAATGTACTTTATTGTTTTTTTCTATTTATTCTAATACAATGAATGTCGACTATAACGGACACACGGAGGAAATAGTATTCAAACTTACTTCTGTTAACGGTGTTACAATAATTTTGATATGAATATGTGCGATTGTGTGTATCTATGTCTACGACGCGCAAATGATATTTATATATGTCAGAACTTCACATAAGATGGGAATTTCTCATCGCAAGGGACAAAATAGAACATAAATATTTTGATGACTGGTAGAATAGGATAATTGTTCGCAATTTCTGTCTCGTCTTATCTCATGAGACTTCTATCAAAATATATATGTCTGATCCCGTCCTGTCCGTCTCATGAGACAAATAACCACGTATAGAGACATTGTTCTAAAAGGAGAGATGTAAATATTTTTATCGTATAGAGTAGTATATAGGGTGTAAGTATGAGAGTAGAGAATACTAACATCAAAAAGAGTAGAACAAAAGGAGAATATACATCGAATAGGATATGATCTAATTTTATCATTATATATCATAACCAACAGTTCTTAAAGAAATTTTGTTGTTAAGATGTTAGTTAAAGAATAATCAAATATCACAGAAAAATAGAACATAGTTTCTGCTGTCATTACATATAAAGAGAAATTTTTCTCAAGCTGTTTATACGAAAATAAAATCTTTTCGACAGTACTTTCGAATTCCTTTCGACGGTATAATTTTTGTATAATTAGTTAAACCGATAAATGTATCCTTGAATTCCACTTTTTTAAAACCTGTCTGACGCATACAACGTTTCATGAGACTATTTTTTTCGTGTTTCATTTCATTCCATGAAAAGTCCTGTTTCATGTACTCCTCTCAATGTCAAATATGGAAACGAGAGAATAAAAACTGCAATATTGAAATAGCGACTGATTCAACATTATAGGACACAATACAGATAAGTATGTATATATTTGATATGAAAGATAGAGAAAAGAAATGTGTTTAATTCGGACATTCCTCGAAAAGAGAAGAAGAAAACGTACGAAGAGACCTTAGCTGTACATCATCGTTGTGGGAAGAAAACATTACACAGTTAAATATTTATCTTTCTTCAGATACGACTAGAAATAAGTCAAGAAAAGAATACCAACAAGAAATAATGAATTTAGATAAGACACCATAGAAATAACAGATGAGATATCAAGGATGGTTCGCAACCCTTATCCCAAAAGAAAAAAGTCTGCATATCTCTGCTATATTCTCATCAAGTAGGCTCATTTTTTTCCACTAATAATACAGTGTTGATAGGTCATATTCATAAGAAAAACATTGAGAAACTCTGCTTTGAAGCATTATAGTTGATTCCAATAAAGAACAACAAATGTTTATTGTTTATAGCTCGAAGCTTCAGGATACAATGATTTACAAGATATATATCTATGGTCGACACTTCTGTGAAGAATTTATAGAAAAACACATGTATTGAAACTTGCAACTAATGTTTGAACGAGTATTTTGCGACTTGCGTTTCTTGAGATCATTGTGATACAATATTTCAGCTTTTTTTGCGTACGTCTAGTTATAAATAATGAAAATTCGTGACGCAGTACTCTAAAGGTGCTTTCAGCCGTTATTAACTTTACTTTTAAAGTTTTGAAATCATTAGAACGTCGACAAGCTGGTTGTATTCATCAAAACTGTATGGACAGAT